GTTATTTCCATCACTGGACCCAAGGCTCCCTCCTTTGTTGGCAAACGCCTCTCTGCCTTCTCCAACACCTACCGTACTGAACGCCGTCTACGCTTCAATAAATTCACCCACTGTGCCAACTGTCACAAGTTTGGCCACCACAGCATCAAATGCATCCTACCTGCCTCCTGCCACTGGTGCCTCCTCCCTCACTCTACTGGGAATCACTCCTGCCCCACCGCTACCTGCCGCCTTCGTGGCCGTCCCTGCAGCCTGTCACGGCCACCCAGTTACAGAGACGGGACAGTTGTTGGACTTTTGGTTGCATGTATTGGTTGGGGTTTTCCGGTTGCTGCGTGAGGGATTTTCTTGGTACTTGATTGGGACTTGCAGCCGCGTAACGGAACTTGGCTGGCGGAACACAGTGGAGACATCGCGGCTGCGCGCGACGCCAAGGGTTGTCTTTTGTATTAGTGATCGGGGGAGGATTTTCTTCTATATAAGGGGGTGTGCCCCCTTATATTTTATGTTCTTTACGCAATCTGGTAATCTCCTTCGGACACCTGTACCTAGGAATTACATTCTCTATTACTTCGCGTCCTCCTGACCCCCTGAACCCTGACCCTGAACCCCCAAACCCCTCGAGCCTTGTACAACTCGTTTCGGTTGTACTCCGGTTCCTGAACCTCGCTTCCAGACTCTTGCCTGTTACTATCGTGGTGTGCCTTGGGCTACCCGATCCTCAGACCCTGCCCGTTACACAGCCATACCACACTCAGGTGTGTGAACTGTGATGGCCCTCACGAATCCCAGTCACCTGTTTGCCCTTTTCGCCCCCGTCTAGCTACCCAAGAGTCTGAGGCTTCGGAGGAACATGAAGAAGAGGTGGACATGGTTGGTTCAACATAGGTTGGGATACCTATACTGATGATGATATTATGAGGAATGAGGTGCGAGACCGGAGCAATGCTGCCGGTGGTAGTGGAATTTTTATTTGTGCTGGGATTCCTGTGGCCTGGCTAGGTGGGACAGGTGGATGCCGGACTGAGGACGGACTTGTACTTTAGCTTTGGTGTTGGTGCTCGCTCACTGGAGTAGTTAACAGTATGGGGACGAAGGATTGGTATCTTGTATTTTAGTTGATATCCGGCCCGTGCTAACTCCCGGCTGGATGGGGACTAGATCATTAGCCATTTTTGGTGCGACT